ATTCAAAAAATACTCACATACCATTCTTTTTTTGGATCTATAATAGTATATCTGTAGGTAAATATTCAAATAATTGTTATTTTATTCATAATTTTAGAAATGGAAATATAAGTATTATTGTCGAATTTATAATTTATATAATTTTCCAAATATACAAGGAATATTATTATCGATCGATGATTCAAGAATTGATCCCTATAATCCATCATGTTTGTCAACTCGATCAGGTAAAATTATTAATGAAAATCTAATTCAATTATTTTTATTATTTTTTAAAAAGGAAATGGAACAGGATTGATATTCGGAAATTTAACTTTATCACCTAATTCATCTCTAACAGTTCTTGGTGGTTCACTTCAATCAAATCAAATGTATCAATTTATGGTCTATATGGAAAATCGTAAGAATTCTTCTATTCAAGCAACAGGCTATGTACTTGTTACAATTCAAGTTACTCACCCACAACTGATTGCTGTTGGGTAAATTCTTTATGAGTTTTTAATTGAATTATCCTAATGAAAAAATATTTGTTTTAGTTGTGTGATATCATCAATGTGTATTCCAAATCTTGAATTTCAACTTCTTAATCCAACAACACAAGTTGCCCTATTTACTGTTTGTATTGGAACTTGTACGAATCTTCAAATTATTAAATGGAATATTTATCAAGGATCAGACAATTCAACATCTTCAAATTCTACTCAATGGACTTTATTTAATAATACGATTCTATATGAAAATATTTGGTTTTTTGGTAAACATTTCATTTTTTTAGCTATCATAAATATTTATTGATTATTTTAGGTACAAATACAAGTAATTTCACAGCAACAGATCTATTATTTCTTAATAATCTTCAAATAAGTCTTTGGCGTTTTGAAGTTGTCTATACATTCCAATCCGCAATAAGTACAAGTGCATTGAATTTTATTATTAATCAACCGCCTGCAAATGGTTCGTGCTCAATCAATCCTCTTGGTGGTACTATAACTACTTTATTTACTATTACGTGTCCAGATTGGTATGATGTTGATGGAATACAAGATTATTCGTTATATGGTATGTTTAGTTTTCATTACGAACTGACTTTTATACTTTCTGTCATTTTAGCATGGACAACAGACATATCACAACGAACAATCATTGCATTTTCACCAGAAGATAATTTTCAAGTTCGATTACCAGCTGGTGATAATGAAACTTCATTGCTTAATCTTGTTGTTTATGTTCGAGACCTTGCGGGCTCTGTTACACAAGTGAATATATCTTCTGTTAATATTATTGCAGATTTGGCAATAATCAATGATTTAATTGATAAAATAACAAATTCATCGAGTACAATAGCAAATAATCCAATTGTTCGATTACTTTCAAGTGGAAATCAAAATGTTGTTGGACAAATGATCATTTCATTATCACAAGAACTCAATCAAATGAGTAGTGAAAATTTAGATAAAGCCATATCAAGTAAATATTCATATTCAGTTTATGAGAAATAATTAAAATAAGTTTTATTTTAGATGGAATACCAGCTGTAGATATTTCAGTATCATCATTAGGAAGTCAAAGTCTACAACAAGTAATTGAATTTAATTGATTTTATCTCATTTTTATTCTTTTAAAAATAGATTTCAATACCATTAAATGAATCAGCTTTGATTAATTATAATATAAAATTAAATTCTCTAGCAAATGTTCGAGATTATCTAGTAACATTTATAACTAATCTTCTTATAACAACGTCAAATAGTATTATATTACAATCATCATCATTAGTTCAGTTAACTCAATCAACAAATCAATTAACACGAAATACTTTAGTAAATTTATAAAGAATATTTTTATTGAAAATTTTTATACATTTTTAAATATTTCTAGTTGCTTGTATCAAATAGATGTTATGAATTATCTGCTGCTTTATATGCAATATTTGAAAAAATCTCATATGAAGATGCTCAATCAGCATCAAATCAACTTTTTCAATGTGCTTCAAATATTTTAAATGTAAAATATATAAAATCAGTATTCTCACTTCTCTATCGAACTCTTGAGGCTGTGGGTGTGGACGATGATACGAGATGAAATCAGCAGCCACACCCTTCAATGATTTTGACATAAAATGAATTTTTTTTTATTTAATTATCGATTCTAATAATTTTAGGCTGTGAATGGACCATTACAAGGACGAACAGAGGTACTTGATTTAGATGGTTCTCGTGCAAATGTCATATCTACTGACTATGATACTGATCTTGAATCTGCATGGTCAAATTTAAGTATGATCTTTTAAATGATTAGTTATTAATAAATTTGAATTTTTTGTTTTTTTGAAGATTTATTTTCTGATGGAAATGATTTTTCTACTGAAACAATTGAAAAAAATCGAAATATTTATTATCAAAAACAATTAGCAAATCAAATCAATAGTCAAGTAACACAAATTATATCATTATTAACTTCTTCATTAAATATTCACTTAAATATTGGTCAAAGTTCACTAATGAATACATCTCAATCATTTGTATCATTAGAAACTATATCAATTGCATCACTCAAAGATAGACTTGTGAAACAAGTTGAGAATGCTCAGTTTAATATTCCATCCAGTTTTATTTTAAACTCAACATCTAATTCTTCAATTTCACTTCGAGTAATTTTCTACAATTTAAATTATTTTTATTAAATCATTTTTTTGTTTTATTTAGTCAAAAATAGATCCACTTGCTTCATTTGGAAATTTTCAAAATACAAATCTTTCCAGATCAATTTCACTTTCAATCATTGATCAAAATGGAAACGAAGTTTCTTTTGAAGCCCATCAGAATAATCCAATCCAATTGATGATTCCTCGTGATCCAAATGTATTAATTCCATCAATGTATTTACAAAATGTTACATCAATTAATTCAACTATTAATAATTTATTATTCAATTATCATTATATTAATATAACAAGTTCTCTTCCAATTTCAGTTCATTTTGAAATTCATTCTTTAAATCGAAGTCTTGCTTATTTATTTATTTATAAATTTGATCAAACACCACAATTAAATAGTTCAATTCATCTTGTTGATGGATGGACAATGTTTTGTCCTTTCAGTATGTTTCTTTTCTTGAACATTCATATGAATTTTTTTGTAATTATAGATCTAACCAATGATGATATATATCGA